CCCCAGGCCCCTCAGTTCCGACCCGCAGCCCCTGCCAGCCCAGCCCAGGGCTCCCCCAGGCCCCTCAGTCCCGACCCGCAGCCCCTGCCAGCCCAGCCCAGGGCTCCCCAGCGCCCCTCAGTCCCGACCCGCAGCCCCTGCCAGCCCAGCCCAGGGCTCCCCCAGGCCCCTCAATCCCGACCCGCAGCCCCTGCCAGCCCAGCCTTGAGACCAGGTTTGGGGAAGGGGCCCCAGGAGCCAGCTGCACGTCCCCATGCGTGTTTCCCCTCGGTCTGCGTGTGCTGCTGCTGCCGCCAGCCCCACTCGCTTTGTGGAGGGGATTTCGCTGCCACCGCCGATCCCATCCCCAAAAGCCCCCCCAGGAGAATAGTGCAGGAAAACCAGTGTCTGTAGAATGGGGGACCCCCATTTCCCAGGATGCCATGCAGCACTCTGCTTTGATGAGGTACTTCACTGTCATCACCATGGCAACCTGGGAGCTCTGGCACTGCCCAGCAGCCATCACTGAGGCCAGGCCGGCGGGCGGGGGGGGGGGGGGGGTCGGTCCCGTGTGGAGGGGAGGATGCCCCTCCCTTTGCCAGGGCGGGAACCGCAGGGTGTCTGGCTCAGTGCTGCCTGCTCGGCTCCTGCTCTCGGCCCTGGCAGCAGCTGCTCGGAGAGTCCCAGGCAATGCTGGGGGCGGCCCAGGGGCTGGAGCAGTAACTAGTGACCACAGCTTCCTCTCCCTGCCCCACGCAGCTCTCAGCCCCACTGCGAGGCCACGGGGTGACGTGGGGCAGCAGCAATCCCAGCATCCCTGGGGTGGGGAAGGGGCCAGGACACCCCCTACCTCTCTCGCAGTAGGGCTGCCCCTCCTCCATGTAGAAGGCACGGTTGCGGATGGGAGTTCTGCAGGCAGCGCAGGTGAAGCACTGCACGTGCCACGTCATCTTCAGCGCATGCATGATCTCCTGGGAAAGGGAACGGCACCGTCAGCCCGGTCCCCGGCTGGGCTGCCCCAGAGCGCCCTCCCCCACCACCCGGCCCCCGCTGGGCTGCCCCAGAGCCCCACACTGCACCACCCGGCCCCCGCCAGCCCTGCCCCCCGCTGGGGCAGCCCTGCACTGCCTGGCCCCCGCCCCAGACCCCCGCCCTGCCCCAGGGCCCACACCCACCCAGGCTTCTGGACACCCCCGAGCTGCTGGGGACCGGACCGGGGCCCCAAGGGGGGAGGGCTCCATGCAGACAGACTCACCCCACCAATCTTCTTCTTGCACTTGGCACAGCTGGGGGCGTAGCGCATGTCGTAGCACTTGGGGCAGAAGACCGAGCCCTTCTCCTCAAAGAAGCCCCCCTCATCCAGCACCTTCCTGCACTGGCAGCATGTGAACTCCTCCGGGTGGTAGTAATGCCCCAGGGCCACCAGGTAGCGTCCCCTAGAGGCGGGGCAGGGGAGGAGTTAGCATGGCTGAGCGCTACGTGAGCCAGCTGCCCCCACAGCCCAGCCCAGCGGGTTCATTCCTCCCTCAGGAAGCGGGAGCTGCCAGGCCACTCCCAGGTGACCAGCAGCCCCTGCACATGGCGGAGGGACCCCGCGCCACTCACCTGATGACCTTGTTGCACTGGTAGCAGATGGGGGTTTTGCTGGTGCCCTCGGGGGGCTGCTGCGCGGCCTGGACGATGGAGCTGCGGTTCTGCATGGGCGTGGGCATGGCCGGCTGGCTGTGTTTGCTCAGCACGGTGCTGGTCTTGTCGGGCGCATAGCGCTCAGCAAAGGAGGGGTCCACAGCCCAGGGGGGGCGGCTGGCAGGGCCCGGAGCAGCTGGGGGCCTGGGAGCTGCAGAACCTGTAACAGTCCCCAGAAGGATTCCCAGGTGATACAGCTGCGCTGGGCTAGCCTGGGGCAGAGCGTAGAAACAGGCACCCCAGCCCCACCCCTCAAGGGGCTGGCAGAGAAGGATCAGCCCCTAGCCTGGCCCAGGCCCCCAGCATGCACCCTGCTGCGGGCACCAAGGCCTCACTCTGCCCCACAGCCGCGAGAGACAGCGCCATGCAGTGCCCATGCCCAGCACCCCCTGCTTACCGTGATCAGGCTCCACCTTCAGCGCTGCCACCGCAGACGGGTCCAGCCCAGACACCTGGCTACAGAACAGCCAATTAATGCAGTTGCCAGCTGGCCACCCCCCACCCCCCGCCCACAGGCCTGGATGGGGCAGGAGCCCAGGGCCTGGCGCTCTCCTACCCCAGCAGGGGCTCAGGCCAGGCAGCCACCCCCCTCCTGCTGTGCGGCAGCACCCCCTGGTGGCTGGTTTGGTTCGTCAGTGACCCAATATCGCAGAGCTGGGGGCACTTCCTGCTCTCGGGCCCAAGGCGAGGAGCCTGCAGAACCGACCCTGGAACGCTGGTGCCCTGAGCAGCCACGCGGCGTCCCCACGGTTGTGAGAGGACCAGCTGCCAGTTCACTGTGGGGATCAACACCCCCCCCCCATTACACTCACTCACCCTGGGGTAACATGACCCAGTCCCACCTCCTCACGGGCCCTGCTGCTCCAATGGGTCTGGAGAAGCTGCCCACTCGCTGCTCTATCCATTAGGCCCAGCCCCACACAAGGGGTTTTTCTTGGACTCTATAGTTTCTTCCTCCCTGTTGGCAAACCCAGCATCCCCTGTCCACAGGGAAGGGGTCCCATGAGGGGCCTGACAGCCCCTGACCCCAGGCACCCAGTTGGCAGGATGCCCACAGACATGTCCCTGGTAGGATGCCTGACAGGACAGAGCAGGTGACTGCAGCCCTGCTGGGAGATGCTAGGGGTGAGGGGAGGCAGCAGCCCGCCTCCGGCAAGGGATGAGCAGAACGCACAGGCCCTTCCAGGCTGCAGGGGGGCAGAGAGCTTGCCCCCAGCTCATGACAGTTGGGCCTTGCAGCTCTCAGCCTAGGCCTGAGAAAGGTGACAGGACAGGGTTGGAGGGAACACAGCCACCCCTTTCTCCCCTCTCACCCCAGAGCCTCTCCAGCCAGCTCACAGGGGCCAATCCCCAGGCCCAACTGGGTACAGCCCCTCCCCGAGGCAGCACTGGCTGCTGGAGCTGTGCCTGACAGGCCAGGAGCCTGCAGCAATGCCCACCCGTAGGGGACCTGTGCCAGCAGCCCAGAGGAGTCCATGGACAGCACCCTACACAAGCCCCAGGGTGCACTGGAGCTAGGTTTGCTGCAGGGCGGGGGCCAGCCCAAGGGGGAAAAGGCTGCCAGGCTCTGCAGACAGCAGAGCAGAGAGGTTCCCCCCAGCTGCTGCAGCTCAGGCCGAGGGGTGCCGCGTTCTGCTGGGCTGCAGGCCCCCGAGGGGCCCAGGGCGCACCAGGCACCCCTGCAGAGCTGGCAGCTAGTGCCCTAGCCAGCCCCTCCTGCCAGCAATGACGACTAGGAGCCAGTTACGAGAACAGGAATCTTTATTGTGCTACAGAAGGGTCCAGCGAGCAGCTGTGCTGGGCAGACCCAGGGCCCAGCCCCAGCCCACTCCCCAACACTCGGCCCACCGAGAGCACGGGTCACATCACATCAGCCCTTGGGGCGCACTGCGAGCCCATCACAGCAAGGCAACGGGCTCAGAGGGGCCTGCCCCACGGCACAGAACCCAGCAGCCTGTGCTTGCTCCCAGAGCCCTTTGCCACCCACCAGTCACCTCTGCTGGGCTAGGCAGGTGGACGTTCAGTCTAGACCCACCCTCCAGCCTAAGGTCCCCGTCTAGTCTGGGTAAGTGTGGAGACAGCCCCAAGGAGGCGCTGGGTGCGAGCCAGGCCCTCACACTATGAGCACAGCCAGAGGGCATCTGGGAACAGCAGCCACTCAGCCTGGGCAGCTCATGGGAACAGGACGCAGCTGGCCCCAGTGCCACAGGCCCCCTGTGGGAACACAGGCCCAGAGGACACTCCAGGCAGCCGTCCCAGCTTCCACTTGCTCAAGGTTTACCCTGGGCAGAGCGAGGGTAGTGTAGCCACCCCAGGGGGCTGGGGCTCTTGGGGAAGCCTAGCGTGACAGGGCAAGGACATGCAGCAATGGAGTCCCTCTGCTCCCCTGGGGTCTGAGGCCAGGGCCCCAGTGCTGATAGCCTCCATCCCAGCCTGCTCAGTGCCACACAATGCGTCCTGCCCAGGGCCGGCCCCTCCCCAGCCCAGGCAGAGCAGACCGCACGGCGCAAGGCGCTCCCAGCTGGGTACGTTTAGGAGCCAGGCGGATGCCCCTCCCCAGGCGAAGGCATGTGATGTGGCCGCACCAGCCCGGGGCGGAGAGGTGCAGGCTCCCAGCACAAGGCCAGGCCCTGCTCAGGATTTCACGTTCAGAGAGACGGCGGAGCGCTGGTGGTGCCAGTCGCGCAGGCCAGTGTAGCGAGGGCTCTGAAGCTCAGTGACAAACTTTTCTCTGAAAGGAAGGAAGGAAGGAGACGGACAGAGATGGGGAGGGAGGAGGAGAGGTTAGCGCCAGAGGGAGGAAGAGGCTCCATTGGCAGAAATCAGGACAAGAAAGAGCAGCCACATGACATCATGCAACCAACCGGGGAGGGCGAGCGTCAGGACCCCCGACCAGCCCCTCCAGCAGAGGCTAAAGGCAGCACGAGGGCCTATGAGATGGCAAGGCCAGGCGAGGGGCCTGCCAGCAGGAAGGCCGGTTTAGCCTCAAGGCCAGGAGTGGCAGAGTCCAGGGCAGCAGGGACAACCCCCAGACAGGCACCCATGCGGTAACCCGAGTGCCCACAGCCCTTACCTGGCTTTTCTAACATGCTCATCATCTGGATCTTGCACTGAGATCAGCAGGAGAGAAGAGACAGAGAGAAAAAGTCACAGTTGGACACCCCCCCGAGGGGGAAAGGAGGAAGCCCACAAGCACCATCCCTTGGCCCCAACAACCGGCTCCCGCTGAGCCCACTGGCCACTCCTGCCCCAGCCAGCTGCGCGGCGAGGGCTAGACTGAGGCAATACAAGGCGTCCAGAGTCAGCCAGACTCTGAGCAGAAGGGACTGGTCTTGGGCAGGCCCACAGAGCACACAGGGGGAAGGCACCTGGCACGCTGCTGGGAGCCTGCCTGCCAAGGGCAGCCCATCCCACACAGCTGTCCAAGAGCTGTCTGCACTCAGCTCTGCAGGGAGACTGGCTACTCTGTACCCTGAAGGCCACCGGCCACCAGCAGGCCCCCAGCAAAGAAGGGTGCCAGGCCTGTCCAGTCCCATCAGAGCAGGGCTGCCAGCCAACCCAGGCCTGGCGTCCCGTCCATCAGCCCGCACGTGCCAGGACCCAGAGAGAGGCACTTACTGAACTCTGTGCCCGTGAGGTGGGCCAGGATGCGGAAGGAGCGGGACTGGGTTGTGCCAGTGCGAGGCTGCCAGTCCTCCGTATCCTCAATCAGACGCTTTTTGCTGGAGTCATTGGGCAGGCCAGTGGGGGGGCTCATTAGCCGCAGAGCATGCCTGTGCGCAGACAGAAGGGCAGGGCGCTCAGCCAGCACGCACGGCACACCCCTCGTCACGCAGGACACGGAGGGACTGCCAGCAGAACCCTGTGTCCCCCTCCCCCGCTGCAACCCACAACAGGGTCTGGGCAGCCCACCCCCCAAGGGGCACATCACTCGGACACGAGCCAAACACCCCCCCTTTCCCACAGGTGTCCCCTCGCTGGCTGGGCAGCCCGCTGACACCTTCCCTCGGGCAAGCAGCTCAGGGCCCAGGAACACAACAGCACAACATGCCAACAAGCAACAGACACCGAATCTCCCCCCCTTACTCATCCTCCATGTAGGAGCGGCCCAGGTCTCCACGGGGCTGAGTTTTCCCCTCTGGCAGGCTGGGGCTCGCACCGACCCTGGGGCCAGGAGAGAGGCAACAAGAGCACAGGTGAGTCAGGTGAAAATCCCAGCCCCGGCGCGACCAGGGAAAGGCCTCTGCTGACAGTGGAGCCCCGTGCTGGGCCAGGACCTCTCCAGGTACAGGCTGCTCCACCGCCCGCAGGTTACAGCGCATGTGCCTGGGCAAGGGACACCCTCCCACAGTCACTGGCCAGTGACACCCAGCTGCTCTCTGCAGGCACCCGCCCTGGCTGCGGAGGGGTGGAGCAGCATCAGGGTCCCAAAGCCCCCTTCCTTGTGACTGCCCCAACCAGGCCCTGCCCGGAGTCAGCACCATGCTCCCAGAGGAGGCAGCTGCTCCCCACTCAAGGTCAAAGCCAGGGAGGGGCAGCCGGCCAAGCCCAGGCAGCCTGTGGGTGCTGGGTCGGGATGTTCTCCTTAGCTTTAATTTGCTGCCGCCAGCGATCAGACTAGTCCTGAAATCTCCTCCCTTGGGCAAGGAGCGACCCCCTTGGCCAGGAACCCTCCCTCTGCACAGGGCCACACCCCAGCCACACCCCAGCATGGCACTTGAGGAGGGGACCAGACAGATACAGGGGTCGGCTCTAGGGGACACAGAGGCTATAGGTCCCGCTCCTCCCTGAGCAGAGAGGAGGGATGCAGCAAGGCAGCAGGATGGTACTAGAAACCAGAGGGGGGTGGGCACCAGCCCAAGGACCCAGGGGAGGGGAGGGGATGCAGAGAAGAGGAAAAAGGCTTACTGACTTGTCAAGGTTCTGCACCTGCAGAGTTGGGGGAGGAGAGAAGGAGAAGAGGAAAGGAGGGAAGAGAGAGATTAGCCCCACTGCACCCACAAGAGACACTTGCAGAGTGAGACTGAGAAAGGCCCAACCCTCCCTACATCCAGCCCTCACTCAGACCCCACCCGGGCGGCTCTGGCTGCCATCTGCCGGGCCGGAGGAGAGGGTGCCCCAGAGCACAGAGTCAGCAACAGATCACAGCACATCGCCCACTACAGACTGGACCTGGCCAGGGGTTCTCTGGGGCACCAAGTTCAAGGGCTGGGTCAGGGCTCAGGAGTGGCTGGCCACCCAGCTCTCTGCAGCCAAGCGCCAGGCTCCCGGTGGACCATGGGAAAGGATCCCAGCTTGGCGAAGTAACTGCACAGTGCAAAGATGAGGGCACCAGTTCACAGGCCACACGCAGGAACCCCAGAGCTCCCCACACCAACTCTGGCAGCTCAGCTCAACCCTGGAGGGACCCTGCTGCAACCCCACCCTCAGCATGCCCAGGAGAGCCAGGCCAGGCACATGCTGGGGGAGGCGGCACAAAAGGAGCCCCCAGCTCAACAGAACAGCCTGTGGCTTCACTGCACAGCCACTGCCCTCCCCAGATGGGCAGGAGAGCCCACGCCCGGGGAGTCCCAGGTACCCTGCCAGCAGCTGGCCAGGTGCAGGGGGCACCAGCAATAGTCAGTCAGCTGGCAGGAAGGCTCCAGGCTGGGCTCTGCTGAACATGCCCTGGCTCCTCAGAGAGGTCTGGCAGCCAGAGCCCCATGCCCCCCCCGCCTAGAAGAGAATCCTGCCCACATCAGGAAGGGGAGAGAGAGGAGCGCAGGGCCAGCGAGGCAGGTCAGCCAGTCTGTGTAAACAAGGTGTATGAAGGGGGCTGCTGCTTTTTTGCACTGCAATACCGGAACCAGCCACCAGGGGTCACTGAAACACCAGCCATGTAGATGCTGCTCCCCAGAGGGGGCGCCAGCCCAGGTCCTGCCAGCGAGCGGCCCCGGCCCATGGCATGCACACGAGACATCCAACATGCAGGGTGCAGCACGGCCAGACGCAGGCAGGGCCTCAGGGTGGGAGCGACCAGGCCCGGCCTGCAGAGCAGGGTCCGAGCCCAGCCGGCCAGTCTGCAGTGCAGTGCAGTGACGGACAGCAACATACCCATTGTGCTGGGGGGTGCAGGCGGGGGCCGTGTACGTCACAGGTTTCGTCACCAGCCCAGGCAGCGAGTTGGGCGTGGGGCTGGCCCCGAAGGGCCGGGCCGTTTTGTTGAGGGTGGTGCTAGGAACGAAGTTATATTTCGGGGGCTGAGAGCAGGGGAATGACTCCTGAGCGGGAGACAAAACACAGCACAGAGGCTTGCACATCAGGCAGCATGCGAGGAGCACCTGGCAGCCCCAGGCCAGTGCCCAAGAGCAGGGGCATCCCGTGGGGCAGCCATGCTAGAAAGCCAGGCCCATGCCTGGCCTCACAGGGGTGTCCAAAGGGGACAGCCTCTGGCACCTTGGAGAGCACTCTGGGGTGGCACTCAGCCACCAGCTGCTTCTGGGCTCTAGCCAGTGCTGCTGTGTGCCCACCTGGCGCCCAGCAAGAGGCACAGAACAGCACCATGCACTGGGGATGAAGGGAAGCCATGAGCCCAGGAACTAGGTCCGGGGGGCACAATAGCGAATTAGTGACAAGGAGGAGACACCTGGCCGAACGCACTCAGATGCGGGCCCCGTGGGACAGGCAGACTGCTGATGTGCTGCACTATACCACCTGCCCACACCATGCACCGGTGGCCTGCCCCACAGCCCAGTGCCAGGGAAACTCCAAGGCAGTGAACAAATACTGAAGGCGGGAGGCAGCTTCATGGCTGGGTCCAGCCCTGCCCCTCATTGGGACAGCGCGTTGAGCCGGCCCCTGCAAGAGGAGACCAAAGCCCTGGTTCCTAGCAGGATCTGCACTGGGAGGTGCATGGCCAGGCACCTAGCTCCCTGTGGGATGCCCATTGGCCTGCTGCAGAGGGCCCTTTGGAGGGAGGGGGTCAGAGGTCAGTGCCCCATTACACCCCTCCTACATTCTGGGGTGGAGTGACTGGCATCTGCCCCAACCTACAGCCAACCACGCCTTTTTGCCACCAGGAACCCCAGCACCTGGTGCCCTCCAAGAGCAGCCCGGGGCTAATTCCAGAGCCTCCAGAAAGGGCCCAGAGACAAGTTCTGCCATCAAAGCAACAGGGACCCTCAGCCCTACGCGCCACGAGACAGAGCTGGTGCCCACAGCCTCGGGGATAAGAGCAGCACATACCTTGTGTGGCTTCCCCAGGAGGCACTGGACTCTGCAGGAGAACAGATTGAGCTGAGATGAATAGACCAGACCCATCTCAGGCTGGGCTCTTCCCCCTCCCCGACCCAGGCCCAGGCTGACCCCTCTGCCAAACCAAGCACTGGGTCTTTATGGGCTCTGTGGGGCGGGACACAAACCTGTAGGCTCCGAGAGAGGCAGCCCACCCCTGCAGAGTGGCGCATAGGCATCAGAACTGGGTGCAGGGGCTAAGGAGGGGACCATGCGTGGGCAGAGGGGGTCCCTGTCCCAGGTGAGAGCAGCGCGGGCGTTACCTGCTCAGGCTGAGGGAAAGCTGGTCTCCGCAGGCGCGGATCTTGTTCTGCGCTTCGATGTGAGTCATGCTACTGGTGTTCTCCCCATCGATACTCAGCACCCAGTCGCCCACTCCCACGCCGGCCTGGGCTGCCTTGCCACCAGGGGTCAGCTGCAGGGCAGAGACAGAGTCAATCACATGGCACAAGCTCCCCAGGAATGATGGGAGCTGCTGGGAGGGGTGGCAAGAGCCCCTGCACACCCTGCCCTGGGCTGACGAGCCACAGCCGCTCCCTGGAGCGGGACAGTGCAGGAAGGAGGCTGCTAAGGACACAGGCGCTCAGGGATGCTGTGCTGCAGGGAGAGGAGAGCGGAGCCACATGCAGCCCTCGCGGGTGCTAGGGGCGCTGTGCTTCAGGAGTCCTGTCTTTCAGCTACAGCCAACCCTGAGCATGCCTGAGCCAGGGGCCCTACTGCACCAGAGGAGGGCGGTCAACTCCAGAGCCAGCCAGGGCCAGCCTCCCTGAACTCCTCCAGCTGGACGCAACACGCAATCTCCAGGTCTACGGGGGCCCCGGCTGTGCACTAACAGCTGCTGTCTTCCACCCGAGAGCTGGGGAGGTTTTGGGGCTGGGTAACAGGTATGCATCTGGGCGGGGGAGACCTCTGCTTTTGCAGCCAGCCCCAGGCCCCCTGCACCATGTCAGGAGATGCCCATCTGCCAACGCCCCCCAATTAGGTGCAGTGCCACTTGGTCTCCTGGCCCCGCCCTCACTGCCAATGCATAACTCTCGAGTGGGCTCCTTCCCCTGCCCCCAATGTAACCTCCACACTGAGCAGGGCAATGCCTAGAGCTGGAGAAGCTGCAACGCTGGGATTGGGCAAGGCAGGGCACTGGGAGCCCTGGATCCACCTTCTGCTTGGGCTCTAGAATTGAGGACTTGCTGCTCCCCCTCCTCCAGCCTGTCAGGGATCACCAGGACAAGCGCCCACTGGACTCAGCCAACAGCTCCAAGCCTTAATTCCAGCCCCTGCGCGTCACCTCTGCTGTAACGGACAGGGGTTTCGCCCAGCACAGGGAGATGAGCTTTCTGCACTGCGCTCCGCAGTCCTGAGAAGGCAGCCTCGCTCCCGGGGACCCGGGTTGGAAATGGAGCACCAAGGCAGCTCTGAAGTCTGCGCTCCCACTGCTCTGAGCATCTCTGCTAGCAGGCCTTGATCCTCCCCTGGAAAAAGCTGCAAGTTCCAGCTCCGGCAGCCGTGTGGGGCCTCACAGCAAACACAGATCCAGGCACTCACTGCACTGACGATGTGTTTGCAGCACAAGCCCTGGGGGCTTTAAGACCCTTTTGCAAGTCACCATTCACGAAAGCATCCATCCTCTGGAACACGAGTACAACGACACCTCCCCACCCCCCACCCCCCGCCCCAGTGTGAGGGGTTTAAGGCTGCAGGATGTGGTCTGACCCAGAGACCTCAAACAGACAGAACGAGCCACATCTGCAATGCCTGGGTTCAGCTGGTCAGTTTGGGGGGGTGTACACAACCCAGTGCAGATGTGAGCTGTACCCCATGGGTGAGACCCCGGCTACCCACAGGAAAAGCCAGGCCCTGGGTCCCAATGTCTGTGCCTTTGAGGTTCAGGAACAAGTGGAGGGACAGGGAGAGAAACTGGAGTTTGGCTCTGATCCTAGCACTAGTAGCCCTTGTGCCGGCTCCGCTTGCAGGGACAGCAAGGCAGCACAGTTCCAGGTCTGCATTAGCTCTGGCACACAGCAGGGGAGGGGGGCTGCAGAGGGGCTGAGGCATCGCCTGCACCAGTTACCCCAGGGCAGGCTGCCCCTTCCCCTGCAGGAGCTGCTCCTGGCTCCACCGCTAGCTCCCAGCGCCACCCGCTGACACGAGGAGGGGAGTTTGCTAGGCAGGCCAGGGCAGCACTCACCGCCCACCCCACACAAGGAACAGGCAGGCCGCAGAACCAATTCTAGGGGCTCAGTCGCTTCCAGCCTCGCCAGGCTGTTCTCCCCTCCTCTACCACCCACCCATGGCTTGTAGGCAGGGCCAGGGCAGGAGGGGACATGCACCTTCTCCAGCTGGTGCCAGCTGCAGGGTCCCAAGCTCCCAGGGCAGAAGTTGGGGGCAGGGCTTGCTGCAGAAGCCAGGTGCCTGGTGTTTACACTCCCCTCCCCCAGGCCCACTGGCGCTGTGCAGCCCCACAGCAAGGGCCCAAGCCCCCGGCCAAGGAACTGGCCCCAGCGTGGGCAGGAATTGCGCTAGCGCGCCAGGGTCCCTGGGGAGAGCCAGGAAGTGAGTCAGAGCCTTCCCTAACGCAGCCCATGTGTCACTCGCTCCGCCTTAGACCTGCAAACCACAGGCATTTCCTAGGCTGCGTCTGGGCGGGAGGCGCCTGAGCAGACCCCAGGAAGTGCTCCTCTCCTGCTACGCGGAGCCCATTCCTCTTCCTCCGACAGCAGGCGGAGACATTACCTCATCCCCAGCCCGGGGCAGGGAGACATTAACCCTGCTTCAGTGCCGGCAACATTTCTTCTGCTCCCAGCGCTGCACAGGGCCTGGCGAGCGGCCAGGCCTCATGCACAGGGGCACCCAGAACCAGCCAGGCTGCAGGCACACAAACCCCCAAAAGCAGGGCCGTGGGGCAGCCCCCCTCAGCGTCCAGAGCTGGGGCACGCCGCTCAGCAGACGGGACACCGCTAAAGCAGGCCCCACTCCCTCCCTGCCCCAGAGACCGTGGGGCAGTCAGGTGCAGGCACTGCGGCAATGAGATGAGGCGTCACTGCACGAGCAGGCGGCCAAAACCACACCCTGTCGCCTCAGCTGCCTGGATGGGCAGGGAAGACTCCACCTGCCGGCTGCAGGTGCCCAGCACTTGCCATGCCCTTCCACCCCCGTGCGACCCCATCACAGCTCCAGGATGCTTGCATGGAGATAAGTGGTGAGACACAGCCTGGAGCCACTCCTGCTCCTCTGGGCCGGGATGCTCATGGGCCCTGCCTTAGGACCAAATATTTCCTCACGTCCAGCGCAACATGAGCATAAGAGGGCATGGCACCGGAAGCCCCGCGGAGTCGAGGGCTGGAAAATCCCAGCTGCCGATCAGACAGACACCCCCTTGCCCTCTCTTCACAGGGCCTTGGGGGCCAGTCACTGCACAGCCCCACATGCTGACACAGCCATGTGCTGTACTGGACACCAGGCCTGGCCTGAGCAGGGGGTCCAGCCCCCAGCCCCATTCCCTTGCTGCCATGAGTCAGCCTTGGGGGTCACTGGTGGCAGCAGTGGGATGTCAGTGCAGATGAGCCCCACACCGTGCTGCCTGGCTGCAGCAGCAGGAGGGCACCCTGAGGGAAGGCGTGTCCCAGCCCAGCAGGAGCTGCCTGGGCTGGGCCCTCTCCTCAGGCAGGTCTGGTGAAGTGGCTAGAAAGCATCAGCCCAACCCTGGACGAGCTGGTTACAGGGCCGCCCACCAGCACGCTGGGGTCCCCACTGGCAGCACCAGCCATTCTCCCTTCCCAACCCCCACTCAGCTCTCCAGCCGCTGCCTCAGCCCACAGGGGAGCTTGGGAGAGACCCTTGCAGGTCTTCAGAAAACAGACGCCCTCACGGGCCAGGACCACCAAGGACCCTGCTGGGCAACATGGGCACAAGCCTGCACTGGCTGAGAGCCAAGCCGCTGCCAGGCACAGGAGAAGGGTCTCCCACAGTGCCCAGGAGCGCAGCGGGTTCCAGGGCTGGGCTGGCTCTGGGAGAGCATCGCCCAGGCTGTGCTGGGGAGGTGGAAGGTCCCTGCTCCTGCTGAGTGGCGTGCAAACTAGCCAGAACCCTCCCCCATTACACACAGAGCTCCCACCTCCCCAGGCCAGGCAGGAAGTTCACAGCAAGCTGTGCTGGAGGGGCCATGGCTAGGGGAGGCCCTGGTAGCCGGGCCTGGCCCTCTGTCCAGACTACGAAGCTGGGGGAAGGCTGAGTCTTCCATTTCCTGCCGAGTGGGGTGAGCTCCCCAACATGGCTGCACTCACCATGCCGCCAGCCCCTCCCTTCCCCAGGCAGGGGGGGCCCGTTCAGCACATGCTGAGCACCCAGGGTGCTTTGCGCCTGCAGCCACGGCCAGCTCTGCCCACAGGGGGCAGACACCCGAGCTGGTCACGTGCACCTGTGTTTTGAGTGAGCCACTGGGGGGTGGAGGAGTCCAGGGATCCCCCCCACTTGGCTCTCCATCCCAGGGGACTCACTTGGGTCATGGGACTGCGGTGCCAGGAGCGTCCTGAGGCCCTGGCACACCCACCCTGCTGACAGCAAGGGCGTATTTTTATCCTTTCTATACCTGACCTCAGCATCTCTCCTTCACTGCCTGGGAACAGCTGAGACCGCCAGGCCTGAGTCCCCCACCTGCTCCCTTCACACACACGCTCACACACGCTCACACACGCTCTGCCTGTTGAGCTGCAGGCAGCTCCTCCAGCCCCTCACCTCAGGCACCCACAGGCCTGCCTCGAGGGAGGAGGTAGGCATGCAGTGTGAGCACCCTGTAAGCATGGGGCTGCCAGGCAGAGCCCTGGCTGTGACCCAGTTATCGCTGCCCCCCCACGTCAGCAAAGTTGCCCACAGCCAGCCTGAGGGGAAGCCAGAGCCCCTGCGCGATAACTGGGAAGCGTAACAAGCCATCCACCCCCTCCCTGCAGCACTAAGCCCACCAAACAAGTGCTCAGCTCCCTATTCCCCCCCCCCAGCCTCTCCCCTTCAGCACTGACCTGGCAGTCCCAGGGGTGGGGGGCAGGAGAGGCAGCACCCACCTCCCTTTGTGCCAGAGCTACGTGCCTCCAGCTGCCCCAGTGCAGCGGCCACGCGCCAGAGCCCACCCACTGCAAGGAGAGAAGACCGCCCAGGCTAGGCCCTCAAGGAGCCTGTCTACAGGTGAGTCAGTGAGCCCAGACAAGCCTCGAACCCCAGGCCACTGGAGGCCTCATGGCCAACGGGGATGAGTGTTCTCTGGTCCCTAGCGGCTGGGCCGTCAGCTCCCCCAGTGCAACTTCTCCAGTCCCTGCCCCAGGGCTGCACCCCACCACCACCACACACTGTGCAGGGATGGTGAATGGGTGCTCTGCAGCCCAGATACCCGCAGGGACTGCGCCATGCCTGGGGAGTCGCTGCGCGGGCAGGGCACTGGCTGTTACAGGCTGGACTGGTTGCCCTTGGCAGGCAGCAACAAGCTGCCAGGTGGGAGAGCGGGAATGCTGCTCACTGGTCACAGAACCCAGGGGAACAGAGGGACAGGGCATCAGCAAGAGAGCAGCACCCAGTGAGCCCCAGGGAGAAAGCAGAGCTTCTTGCTGTATGGGCCACGGATGGCTCCAAGGCGCCCCCCCACACACACACACACAAGGCACACCAACCCCTCAGCAGAGGGTGGGAGAAGAGGGTTATGCTTCTCCACAAGAGGTGGAAAAATTCCCCCTGGCACCAGGCCTGGCTACAGGCAAGGGGAGCTCTGAAGGGCGGGGCACACGGGCAGGCTGCACTGAGGGGCCAAGGCAGCACCTGGGGGCGCCATTAGGCAAACTGCTCTAGGCTCAGCTTCAGCCTCGCTGCCAAGCCAAGCGAGGGGCTGGTCTGGACAGGGCCTGTCAGCACAAGTGGAGGCCATCTCTTGGGCCAGCTGGCGGCCAGTGAGCAGGGGCAGGGCATGGGGGTGGTACAGACACTACAGCCTCGAGGATGAGGAGCAGGGATGTTTCTGGAGAAGACAACAGCAAATCCACTCACCAGGACACTGACACCTAGCAACCAACAACCCAGAGGGAGATGGACTCCCTCCTCCTCCTCCCCCACACACCCCCAGCTTGAGATCAGAGGACTGGAGGGGTGTGAGACTGGACTCTGGGCTGGCCAGACTGGACTCTGGGCTGGCCAGACTGGACTCTGGGCTGGCCAGACTGGACTCTGGGCTGGCCAGACTGGACTCTGGGCTGGCCAGACTGGACTCTGGGCTGGCCAGACTGGACTCTGGGCTGGCCAGACTGGACTCTGGGCTGGCCAGACTGGACTCTGGGCTGGCCAGACTGGACTCTGGGCTCTAAGGACTTCCTAGGCTGTGTCCAGTTAAACCCGCCAGTTGTGAGAGTGCTGTGTGCCACTGCCAATGCCGGGTGAGGTGCACTAATCCAGACGAGCAGGCAAGTCCCCCCAGGGCCCGTCTCAGTTGGACATGCTGCCCAGAGCGCACGGTGCAAAGCAGTGCACCCCCAGCCCGGAGGGAAGTTTGCCAAAGACAGTGTCTGGGCCCCAGCACCTGGCCTGGGATTAACATGTCCCTGAAGGAAGCTGCACTTCTATCAGGGCCACACTCTCCAGGGCTCATAAACCCCAAACCCTAGGGCTGGCTGACCGCAAGCCAGGAACTGGCCTCCAAGCTGGCCGGAAGAGATCCAAGGGGCCAGAGGGCTGCGAAGGCAAAGCTGCAGGGACTCATGTCAGGCAGCGCTGCTCAGGAAACCCCCCTCCCCCAGGCGTAGGGCCCAGCGTGGTGCTGGCTAGCACAGCCCTGCGCCGCCCTCCCCAGCACTTCCCATGCAGGGCCCCTTGGAGCAGACAGGGGCTGGGTGGGGAGAAGCTCTGGCTCCAGGAAGCCGCAGCTAGGCTCTCTGCAGACCCCTCTGCCTAGACAGGCCCTGGTGCGCGCAGGCAGCTACCCAAGAGACATTGTCTAGAACACGAGTTGAGGCTGTCTCTGCAAGGAGCCTACCGAGTGCCCGCAGGGGCCAGTGGGCTGCAGGCAAGCACCCCACAGGGCTGGGGCAGCACAGAGACAGTCAGAGCCCCCTCCTCTCCCTCACCGCAGGCTGTGCACATGGGCTGTCCAGCGTACGGCCACAGCACGCAGGAGGGAGCCCTCACAGAGCCTGATCCTGCCTCCAGCTTGTTGGGAAAGTCTCCATCCGCCAGCATCGCAGCACGGACACTCCACATTCCAAGGCTTATAAGGCAATTCCACACCGAGGGCTGTCTGCCAACAATCCAGTGGCAAGTTCACGAGCGCCCTGTGCCCAGGCAGGACTGGGACCCTGTGGGGGGCAGCTTGCAAGGTCACAGAACCCCTCCCCACCCAGAGGCAGGGCCTGGGCACAAGGAGCTGGCCCAAAGAGCCTTGAATGGCAAGGCCAGGGTGCAGTTAGTGCTAGGCAGCGATTCACAGCACCAGCTCCCTGTACTGCTTCGTGCCAGCCTGGGCCACAGGGGAGCGCAGTCCTTGGCTTCCTCATGGCTGCCAACAAAACAGGGTGGGATGGGGGCCCTGGGCCACTAGGAACAGCACCAATACCCAAAGGGGTTTCCTCCAGATACTGCCACCCTGATGTCAGCACAGATGCTCCCCCCAACAGCTCTAATGCACAGAGCACATGGCTCAAGAGGGGTGGTCTCACCCACCTCCGAGTTCACTGGCAGCACACCTACCCCCAGTCCAGCCCTATGTTACTGAGACAGCCCTCCTGCCCAGCACCCAACGCTGCAGGGCACAGCTCCAGAGCTAGGGGCTGGCAGAGGGGACCCAGGGCAGAGCGCAGAATGAGACTGCCAAGAGCCAGGAGAGGAGGTGGCTCTGCAGGATGGTCCCCAGGAAGAAGTAGCCAAGAACAGGCACAGCGCCCTACAGCAGCTTATCTCAAGGCCTGGGCCAGCCCCAGGCTGTGGGGAGCCCTGCCCCAGGAGCAGAGCCCAACCCCACAGGGCTGGCACACAGCACAGCCCCTGGGCAGACTGAGGAGAGCGACAGGTGACAGTTCATCCCACAGCAGCACCCTGCCCTTGAGCTCCAGGCTGGCCCAGCTGGGAGCCACTGATTCATTTCCGAGCAGGAAGGCAGCCCCCCTCTCTACAGGCACCAGCAAGACAGACCTCACCATCAGCCTGGCATGGAAACCACCACACCAAGACCCTGACCCTCTGGCAGGATCCCCAGCATCCCTGCTCTCGTTGAGGACAGCAGAACCTAGACACGACGGGAAGAGACCAGGCAAAGGGCTCCAGGAGGGGAGCTGCCCCTTCCCCCACCAGACAGATGGGAGCAGGTCTGGGAGAAGAGCCTTGTCCTGACAACGGCCAACCAGCCCCTCCACACAGCCCAGATGGCACCTCCTACTTCCACAGCTCGCTTGTGCCCAGGGCCCTTCACTGGCAGCACATCCCCAGCCCCCAGTGTGACACAGGCGAAGGGCATCCCTCTGCCCCCCATTGCTCAGGGGGCATTTGTTAGATGGAGGCACCTCGATGCAGGGACATCAGCTTATCTTGGGCAATGCAGCCAAATACCCAAATGCAGCAGCAGCACCCCCCAGCAGCTCCAGGTAGGGGGAGAGGGAAGCCACAGCATGGCTGGTGCAGAGGTTTTCTGCCACAGTTCTTACCCTGGAGATGGAGAGGGGCATGTTGAAGTCCTTGCCCCCCTGCAGCCTGAACCCCCAGGGCGCCGGCCCATCCAGCATCACTTTATAGGAGTCCATGCTGCTCATTTCTGAAGAGAGAAGAGAAGATTCAGGCATTTAGGAGGAGCAAGGAGGAGAGCAGAGAAGGGGCAGGGCACTCTCTCCTGGGAGCCAGCCCCAACTACCTACTGACATTCTGCCCCCATGGCTACTCCTGGAGAGCACGGGCAAGATTCCCCAGTGACACTGCTAGAGAAGATCCCAAGCTCGCTCAATCCATCGCAGGGAGAGGATCCAATCCTCCCCCAGCACTCGGCCCAGAGTCAGAGGGCACCCCCTCCCCCGTCACAGGCAGGCACTGAGCAGGTTGTGCATCCAGCCACACACCCCTGGAGCGAGCACACAGCTGCAAAGCCACTGCCCCTGCAGCCAGGTGCCCATGGTACTCACCAAGCCATAGGCTACTCACGACTCGGGCAGTGACAGGAGCATTTGGAAACCTTTTGGTTGGGCAAGTCAGCACTGCCATGGGGCCTGCTTGACACCCACTAGCCCCAATGCTGAGAGGCCAGGCAGACAGGGGGAGACAGACTTCACCCCAACAGCCAGCTGAGAAGAGCAATCCTGTATGCCAGTGTGCACAGGGACAGCCTTTCCCGGCACAGCTGCCAGCCAGGGGGCTGGGGCCAGCCCCAACCCTGCTCAATCCCAGGAGTCACCACCAACCTCATCCGACAGGAGCTGGAGCAAGGCCTCTGGCCTCTCCTCTCCCTCCAAACCCAGGGAGAGGCCAGCACCGAGGGATGGGGACTCGGCCCCCAAATCTAGCTCCACGCCCCCGCGGGTAGGTGGGCAGGATCCTGCCCCCCTCCCCCAAGCTCTCCCCAGCAGCTTGCAGGCTATATAAGGCATGTAAGATGACACCGGCATGTTTCTCTGGCTGCTCATCCGGGCTGGGAGGGATACTCCAGAGCGACTGCTGAGGGCTGCATATCAGACATTCCCTGCGCTGGCCCATAAAACACGCACACAAAACCAGCACTCTGGGCTGGGATCCCCCATCCCCCACAGGAGCTGCCTTGGGACAGTACAGCAGCCACCTGTGCTCAGACCCGTTCTGCTCCCCCCACTCCAGAGACCCCCCTCACCAGCAGGCCCCACTTCCTTCCCCTCCAAGGAGTCCAGATGCAGCTTAAAACCCATCTCCACAGGACTGGGAGAGGAATGTGCAGGGCTAGGAAGAGGTGGGGAGACTGAACCCTCCCCCTTCCTGGGCTGAGCAGACAGGACAACATGCCTGAGCGGGGCCCTTTGCCACAGGCTGCAGCAGGAGTCTTGGCTCTGTGCTCCGGGATCTGTGTGGAGGATGTGATGGGGTGCGGGATGTCCCTGCCGCACTGGAAGAGCTGCACAGCCATTCCCAGCCCCCCAGCCCTGTACTGAAGCTAACACCTCGCACTGCCAGCGAGGGCAGCGCCCCCACACAACCAGAGCTACCCACTGCCCACTACCACCAGGCGGGCCCTTGACATGCAGATCTGAGCGAGGGCTTCCTGCAGGCCTCCAATGGCATCTGGTTCACTGGGTCCGGCAGGCTGGGGAAAGTGCACAGGCCTGTTCAGATGCCCCGTGACAGGCAGCAGCCAAAACCCCCGAGACATACAGCACACGGGAAAGGATACAGGGTCCTTCGCTGTAACTAGTGTCGGCCGCAGGGCCAGGGATGGAGGCAGGTAGAGACAAGGGCACAGCGCGCCTGGCGCCTCGGAACCGCCCCTGGGGACTAGGGTCTGCGCGGAGTGACCGGCTGCTCCGGGCACGGCCAGCGCGGGGGGGGCCCTAGGGGCGGGCAGGGGATGGGCCGGGGGGGG